GAAGGGGCAGAGTTCCCGGCTGCCCCTGCCACTAGTGGATCTGTTTGCTGTCCCTGCTGGTTCTGATTTGGGGTCAAAGGGCGCTGACTGGCTCCTCCACGGAGAACCTGGGAATGGGAGACAAAAGTAAGTCAACTACTTTCTTTTCATTGAAAGTACCTGATACCCACCATGAGCTCAAGTGGGGTCGACTCATTTTCGCTATGATCATTTTATGTGTCATTATGTTAAGATAGAACTTCAATGAATAATCTGCTGTATAGTAAGATCTCCTCCCATTCTTAAACATAGGAACTTTATGAGCAGTCAAAAGCATATAAAAGTGATAATTTGTTCACTAATCAAAGATTTAATGTCTGGAAAAAGGAAAAAAGAAAAAGGAAAGCGTTAATGCCTGCCATGAGGCAAGTACTGGCGAAAGGGCAACAAGCCAGACCAGATGCCCCCGCCTGATGAGGGCGCCATTACAGTGAGGACAGGCAGTGGACAGAGGCTACATGACGGCACTGCCATGACGACAGGGGAAGGGAAGGGTAGCGCAGACAGGGTGAATGCGCACGATCCACCTAGACCTGTACATTAGAATGTCTCTCACACACACAGAGCGATAATCTGTTTTTGTTCGTTCCTTAAGTTGCCAGAGGGTACACATGCTGACCAGAGAAAAAAGAGACAGAGAAAGCAAGATGGCACCGCTACCACGGGCTAGGTCACACTGCAATCCCTTCTCCTCCATTCCTCCCCCTCTGGGACTCTGGGCACCCACCACAAATGCCTGGCATGTTTTTCAACTGGCCAGGTATGGGACTTGAACCACAGATCTGGTCACATGCGATCCAGCTGCCTTAACCACCAGGCCACCACAGGCTGGCCCACTATGTTCTCTATGTCATATGAGAACATTTTCTCTACCTTTAACACTACTCCCATTCATCAAGGCCTGAGGGGCCCAGATGAGCTGACCACACTTAACTGAGGACGTTTCTACACTGACCGGTTTACGTCCCCTCTCCCAGCTCCCATAAGCACGCATGTCTAAACAGAGAAATGTGCTCATCAAGCTGCAGTGCAGATATGGTTCTGCTCCTCAGATAAGCGTCTACTTTCTATTGATAAAGCATGTTATCAAGATGCTGGCTGACGGGGCCATGCAGACAACACAAGCTGGTCAAGAGGCTGGGAAGAAACGGCAAGACCAGGCCAGCGGCTTACTAACTCTCCTTGTGTCATTTTACTGGCCTATAGTTCATTTCTCTGCCGTGAGTTTTACTGTTATTACGGTATCTCGCAAGAGTAAGATATACCAACCATTGCAATAAAGCCAATTAGTGATCTTGTAGGAATGTGGTTCCCTAAGACTGACAGGAGGATCAGGAAGTTTAAGACTCCCCCACCTGTCTGTTTTTAAGCCAAAATTAACATATAGATTAAGTTAGTATAAACCAAATTAGCATTAGAAGCATATGTAGACTAAGTTAGTTTAAGGCTAGCCCTTGTTAAAGCTACAGCCGAAATTCACACTAGGAAAGTCAGGTCAGCACATTCACCACAAAACACAGACTCAGAGATAAAACAAAAGAACTCACTAATTGACAGACTCAGCAGACAAAGCTGAGGGTTCCACAGAAAGATTAACCATTTTAGCTGGGAACTCTTATCTAAAGCAACAGGTAGCTTTCAACTACAAAGAGTTTCTCATCTATGTGCTGTTGACTATGAAAAACTGCTAATAAAACATCCTGTGTTGTCTCCAGAGCTACAAGATCATCTTCCTTTCCCATATAAGATCATAGACTCACCTTCTATTGTTGTAATGTATGGATAGTCCATATATTAACTGTGTCTTTACTTAGCAAGACAAGATTTCCATCTAGGTCATTGTAACCAGCAACGTTATCGCCCTGGCCCGGGACTAAAGTTATCAAACATCCT